TGCATCCTTCTTTGTAACATAATTTAGCTTGCGATAATCCACGCAAAAATGGAGACTGTCATCCTTTTTCCTAACTAACACCACGGGTGCTGCCCACGGACTACATGATGGACGGATGATGCCATTATCTTGCATCCGTTTTATCTGCTCTGCCACTTCCTGCTGGAGGTGCAAAGGAACACGACAAGGGAACAGTTTAACAGGCTGTTGCAGAACCAGTATCTATCTTATGTAAAGCAAGATGAGTTCTCCCAAGATCAGTATCAGCTTTACTAAATACGGACAAATAACTCTTCGATTGCTTGCATTTGACTAGAGTCAAACCCCTGATCCCTCAACCCAAAGTGTGACACTAAATAGTCAACAGTCAAAGGAAGGGAGGAAATCGGGTCATTCGACTCTATAGTCAACGCACTATCACCTACCTCTACATCTGGAAAAAAAGTACCAATCTTCATATTTTGCTTTAAAACACAATGGTCATCTGACACATTAACGACTCACACAGGTACCACCCCTTCCTCACGAGCTACCAAAACATCACATGTTGGAAGAATAAGGGGAAAAGGCTCAACCATACCCTCATAATGTTGTGGCAGAAGTCCTTCCACTTTACCAGGCACGATGACTTCAGTTCGAGGGGGCAGCATGATGTCCGCCTGCACCCTAACTACTTTGGGTTGTACACTGCCATCTTCAGTAAACAGGGGAAGTTTTTTTCCCATTAACTGGCAACATTTTTCACCCAAATCAATAACTGCCCCAAATTTAGAGAGAAAATCCATTCCCAACAGCAATTCTTGGGGGGTGACATCGGCCACCAAAAACTCTGCAATCACAGCCAACGAATCAAACTGGCACACAGTCTGCCAGCGACCCAAAATGGACATTTCTCCACTATTGGCCACAGCTACTCTGCCTTGATAGCAGTCTAAACTAGACCCCCCGTTAGTTAAATTTAACCAAAACTGCTTAGGATCAATTGAAACCTGTGCCCCCGTATCAATCAACAAATGTGTTTCACACCCACCTACTTTACCAGTCAAAAATACTCCAGCACCCGTTGTAGAAACTGAGGCCAATTTATCTGACACAGACGTAGGGGCAGGCATTTGGCCTACTGTACCTGCCCCCTCCAGTTTCCCTGCAAATAAGGGCAATTCCTGCGCAGATGTCTAGTACAACTACATTCCCAGCATGCGTCGGTCCACAAACGCACCTGTGGCTCAGATAAACTCATAAGGGGAGTGGCAGGTGCAGAGACCGGCCTATTCTTCGCCTGCATATCCTTTACAGTAACCTGTAAATCTTTAACCTCTTGACGCAACTCCTCCACTATGCCCAGTAAAATGTCAAGCTTGTTATCAGAAGATGAATTCTGAGCACTCAGACCACGAACTTTCGAGTCTGAACAATGTGTGTGTTCTAAATTCCAAATAAGCTCCAATTCAGATGCCAAGTTAATTGCACCTTCTAAAGTGGCAGGTTTTGCACTGTGAAGATGTATACATTTACATTACATTGACAGTAAATTTTAAATCATTATATTTTAATAATATTTTGTCATACTATAAAATACACTTATTTTGATGTATTGACTAACATTACTAAAGCACATGCAAAGTACTTGATTATAATTTTAACAGTAGTGTGTAATTTTTAATAATATGTTTAAAGTTATTATATTTTAATGTAAAAATATTGTAACTTTATCATTACAAATGTGTTTAAATTACATACAAGTTTTGATAGAAAATACATTAAATAGTGGTTTACCCTAAATACTTGTCAGTACATTCGGCAGTACACTTTAACCACATTTCAAGGACAACAGATATAATTATGAAATGATATATACTGTAAAGATGTGTTTAGGTCTTAAAGAAAAAGCACTCTAAAGTTAAGCTATTTACATTTAATGTGAATTTAAACTATAATACATTTTATTTGAAATGCAATTAACATGCAATTAATTGTCCAAAAATGTTACATTCCATTTACACTTACAGTTATTCTTTTAAAGTAAATTACTTCCTTGAGAAGTACCGTATTGTCCCGAATATAAGACGATATTTTTTTCTTGGAAACACATCTGAAAAAACGCAGTCGTCTTATATTCAGGGTCTAGACTTTGACATGTCAATAATACACCCACAACACTAGGTGGCGCCAAATACGCATAAAACGAGTGTGCCATGAAATACGTAATGTAATGCGTGCTGTAAAGATCGCGAGTAAAAACAAAAGAAAAAGAAAACCTGACAGCTGCATGAGTCGTGACTGTCACGTTAGCATGATGGCACCAAACTCCCTTTGTGATTTTAAGACTACAAAAAGTGTATATTTTTTTTAATGTGATTGTTGGTACATTTTACCAGTTTTTACCATACTTTCAAAACAAAAATTAAAATAGGAAAAATATGCAATATGAAAATAATTGAAGAGAAAATGTGTTTTACTGAGAAAAAACAAGATTTGGTTTTTAAAAAGCCTTTTTCCAAAAGGTACATCTGGAAAAAGGGGGGGTCGTCTTATAATCAGGGTCGTCTTATATTCGGGCCAATACGGTACTATTTTTAAAACTCATTTATGCTAAAGTGTACTTTTTTACAAGGGAGTGTTTAGTTGTTTTCAATATATTGCCACTTTTCTTTTCTTTTTTTTCACCATTATGCCTTGAGAGTCACAGTTGTAATATGCAGTGTCAAGTTAAAAGCAGTTCAGCTTAAAAAAGAAAACATCTCACAAATGCACTACTTATTTGAAAGAGTTTTTCAATGGTGGTCTATTACTGATAATAAATAAATAAATAAATAATATTTTACTTAATTACTTTTTATGTTGGTTCTTGATCAGAATAAGCTTTAAAGATAACAAGGCTTTATATAAATAGCCAAATGTCTAACTACAAGACTAGGTGGGCTGCTTTGGCTCCCTCAACATTGGCAACTACAGGTAATAGATCATTAGGAGGTCTACTAACACTCAGTGACCTGTCATAACTGCTCAAACATCCCTTTCTCTATATATCTACACTTAAACCTTGAAAAACAACACTTATCACCAGGCCGAACTGTAAATGCTTGTCTCAACACTTGTTCAGCGCAAGTATGTCTTCAGGGTTTGCTAAAGTGTTAACATATCAGTCTTCGCAATAGTGAGCAGATAGTTGCTCTCAGAGACTCTTTGGGAAATGGATAGCCACATAGAGCACCAGGTCAATGCTGTATAAAGAGACAGGACGTTGTTTTTCTGTTTCAGACAAGCATAAATGGCTTTTTTTTCTGTGTCAAAAAGGCAAAGGCATTTTATTTGTTAAGCCAGTTTTAAAGGACAGTGGTTTTGTAGGGAAACAGCTAAAGCATTTGCAAGGAGCCATTTACATAAATCAAAGGACAATTTGTCTGTACAAGCTGTGATAGTGTTGATTATTTCCCATATTTATTTCATTGTTGTTGATTACTGCTGATTGAACATGATCACTACAGCCATTCTGATCAATGAATCCAGATCACTGATGTGAATCAGTGTGTGAGAGAGAAAGAGAAAGTTCATGGATCCACTTCACTTTAAAGTACAAACACCTACTGAAATTCTCAACTTCACTTGAGTCTATAAGTGTTGTAGACCAGCTCATTCAAGTCTGAGTCCAGGCCGAGACCGGAGTAGGTTGAATCTGATTCAAAACTGAGACCTGAAGAGGATCGAGTCCAAGTCAAGACCGAGTCCAAATGCTCCTGAATTCATGACAAGACCAAGATCATGAAAATGGACCCAAGACCAATATTGAGTACTTCAGTGTTGTGGCTCTCAAATGGTTTTGCTTTATGACCCAGATTTTACATTCAACATTAATTGGTGATCCATAATTTTTTTGTTATACAAAAGTAATAAAAATGTCCAAAACGCAGCTTTAAATGAATCATGACTGATAAAGATAACATTTTTTAATATAATATTATATATCATATATAGTATAATATCATATTGTAACCCTTAATTTTGGTCTGCAAACGCTCCAGTCTCTTCAGCGTGGATACATAAATAAAACACGGTGATAATTCACGTTTTTTCTTTTAATCAAAAGCATCGGCCTAACAGCATGAACAGCCAAACACACAACACTCGCTTGAGCTTCCTTTTTTTTTCCCCCAAGCGCGCTCTGCCTTAAAGGGGCAGGCGGACCACATATCTTTCTAACAAACATGTATAAAACTTTGCATGAGACATTTGAAAATACACGAAAATCTTACTAAACAGATCCATCAACATTTCTTATTCTTCGTTTTTATATAAACCATGAATTGACAAAATGTAAAATAAAATAATGATTTCAACATAAGGTTACAAATTCAACATAAGGTTACACTATTTTTGTTGGACACAGGCAATAATGACTTTTTTTTCAACTATAGACTTGCTTCACGATGGATTAAAATAGAGAATGACATAAGCATGTTGCTACGCTAACAATATGCTAAAATATACACAAATACGTGAAAACTGGGAAACACAGTAACGGCGGTGTGTTTATTGATATTAAATATATATTTGTGTGTGTGTGCACGCGCGTGTACAAACACATATACATACATATATATAGTTACGTGCAACAAATCGAACAACTAAGTGTAACATGGAGAGGGTCAACCGGAGTTCCGTCTCTTGCTCTCTCTCACACACACTCTCACTCTCTCACACACACACACACACACAAATCTGTTCAAAACAAAAAGGAGGTTTATTTAGGTGTGTCTAAGTTTCTTTCTCTCCATCAAGGGAAAGACACGTAGCTCAGACTCAATGGATTAGTCGGCCCAAAACAACAAACAAACAGGGTTCTCTGGCTAGTTTTAAAAATGGTCTTCCATATACAAAAAAAATTAAAATTAAAGTTACAATTCTTACCTCCCTCCTAGCCAATAAACAGAAGAAAACGAATAGTAAAATAAAAAGTGGGCCTCCCACTACACACGACAGTCTGATTAAAAAGGGCACACCACTGATGCATTTACCTGCCCATACCGCTAACAACTTACTCCTCACGAGGAGGTTAACCGTACATCAGAGCACACAGCAAACCGGCTACAACACACATTGTCTGGGGAGCACGTGCACACATGTTCAACAGCTCCAGAAAACAAGAGAGGGAACTCGAAGAGCATGCTTCTCACACAGCCTAAATCCACACGCTGATCCAGTTCGGCTCTGCCCACTAAACTGCTGCACCTGTTACACTCAAATGAGCGCACTAGGCAGTGGTGTATAAAGCGCCTGAAAGCCATACTCAAGTAAAAGTACAGATATCCTACCAGAAAATGACTTTGGTAGAAGTTGAAGACACCGTTTAGAATATTACTTGAGTAAATGTCTTAAAGTATGTTATTTATTGTACTTAAGTACGAAAAGTATTTTATAAATCTTAAATGTACTTAAGTATTGAAAGTAAAAGTACAAGTAAATGCAAAATGGAAAAGAAGCAAATAAATATATATAAAAAA